AGCTGGAACATATTTGGCCTTTCTTCCTCACTTGACCAGCTAGGACCACCAACCATTTTTCTGGGTCAATGACCCCACCTTGTGGACAGAATAAAGAACAGGTTGACCCAAATCACTTTCTCCTATGTTTCCTCTGGGCGTGGGAAGACTTGAGAGATGAGAGGCATAGGTGCTTGGATGATGAGAGAGAGGGTGATTGCTGAAAGTTTTCCTTGTCTTTCACTGCTCCTAGATTCATACTACACATTCTTTACGTTTCTCAATACTTCTTTAGAAAGCACCTCTTTTTGGTTTACTTGACTTCCTTTTTATCATTCTCTTCACGTTCCCAACCAGCCTACTGTGTTAGAAAAGATATTGTTACCTGAAATTTCCCCAATTCTGAATGATTTTGCCCTGAAATTCTAACCTCTGTCATTTTATATCTCAAATTGCTAAACATCTCAAATTCTTCTTATTCTCATAGTGTATCTTTTAATGTTTGCTGGCTGTCAATCAATAGATGATATATCGACAGTCATATATTTCTAAAATGTCTAAAGTTCTGAAGTAGGCATTCAACCATGAAGGCTTAAAATAAGAAATTGTGAATAAATATGTTCATTATCTCCATTTTACATCTGAGGAAAATACAGCTAAAAATAACTTTTCCATTACACCCACCTATTAAAGGGTATCACTGAGGTTTAAATAGAGGTAAAAGTTTCTAGAGCCTGTTCTCCCAATTGTTAAGCAGATATTATTATTGTTATTATTATTATTATTATTATTATTATTTCTGTGAATGCTATCACCCCCAATTTTCCCAGTTGTAACCTGGATAGTTGCCCTCCATCATTTCAACAATCTTCATCTGATTTCCCATCCATGCTTTGGGGCTGCTAAGAAAACCACATTCTTATGTTGTTCTGTCTCCTTATAAATTATGATAGTCACTGAAATCTTCAATGTAGCCCGTCATTAGTCTGCTTCTTTCAAGAGAAGGCCTTCTCCTGTGCTCCTCAGGGTTTACTTCCAAACACCAATTCTCAGTGGTTTACCATTGGCTATAAGGTGGACTCTTAAATCCTGAGTGTGGAATTAGATACGCTTTATTTTGTGTGGTGGGCCTTGGTCTATATGTCTAGTCTTGACACTTCAAAGTTGAAAATATTGAATTTCATCAGACTATTCTTATAGTATTCAAATCCTTTCAGGACACAGTGTTTTGGATTGCATGTGTGTTCTGTATGCTGGGAAGGAGATCAATGACTTTATCCATTTGGTGATATACCGTTCAGTTTCCAAAGCCAAATTGACTTGCTATGGCCTTTATTAAACCCCATCATCCACACAGGCCCTTCATTGCACCGCTACCCCATCAAAATAGCATCCCCTTCTTTGAAACATGAGGAGAGATTCTCACTCTTAAGTAAAATAATTGTATGGTGCTTGAGCTCCTATTTGTGAGTCCTTTAAATACTAAATCCCTTAATTTAAAGACTATAGAATTTATATAAAATGTAATATAATAATATATAATTAATCTATACACTTTAAATACTACATTGTTCACCTGGACACTCATCTCCACTAAAGACATATAAAATGCATCCGTTATTAATTGAGTTGAATTAAAATACACACTTCACATTAACATACCCAAGCATGTTTCAGTCTTTGTCCCTACTTGCGTTAGGGGAGATCCAGGCATATTGAGGAATTAAATGTACCTCCTTGGAGTTCATGTAAACCGAGTTTACTCTTATTTTCTGCATTATAGAATTTGTCAACACCTGGAAGGGTGTCTGATTTAGACAAGATGCTCACTGAATGGATTAAGTAAATGAAAGGATTACATTTATTTTATCATGTTAAAGTTCTAATTTTTTTAATCGTTTTATTGGGGCTCATACAACTCTTATCACAATCCACACATACATCAATTGTGTAAAGTTCTAATTTTTAAATAAATAGGTCAGTGTTTACCTTGCTTAATTCCAGTCATTTTTGAATTGAGAGTTAGACTTACATCAATTAGCATTGGTTTAATTTTTCTATTATTACTGTGTCTTTACATCCTCCTGTCATTTCTTTTGGTTTGTAATAACCCTTTTTTTTTGCTATCAATTTTCAGTTTCACTCACATATTCTAACAGTGAAATTTTGAGTATTCTTATTTGAATTTTTAAAGGAAATACAAAAATGTATCTTTAGGCATATAAAGTGATTTACTCATGCAGATACCTCCAGAATGGGGGTATATTATATATGTAAACATTATATATAAATATTATGTGCTTTTCCAAGCTAGTAATGCTTTTGTACATTGTATTTGTCTGTACTCTAAGATAATATTTATTCAAGAGGACTGCCTATCAAGAAGTTCCCTCTTAATATTCAGTGAACCCTCGCCACTTCGCGCTTCGACTTCCGCGGCTTCACTCTATTGCGGTTTTTGCGTAACAGCGCATGCTCTGTCATTACTGCCACTGATTGGCTCATACTGTCCACACTTCTGTCTGCATCGATGGGGCAATGGAACCCTCCAAAAACCTTTTCACTGAAATGAAGAGACAACGTCGGCAACTGCCAATCACAATGTTTCTTAAACATGTACCCAGAAACCCACTGCCTACACCCGCTCCTTCAGAGGAAAAAGACGGCGACCCACCTGTAGAGTACATCCCTTAAGTCATTTCATAGACTATTGATGACAGTATTTGTAAGAACTATGTATAATAATACTGTATGTGAAATATGTAATACTGTAAACTAGATGCCATAAATAATATAATAAATAATAAATGATAATTGTAACGTCCAAAATGTTTTACTGTATTTTCCCTTTTTCATTTAATAAATTGGGTAATACGAGTGTAATGGTGACTAAAGGGTGTTTTTTCATGTCCTCTATGCTCTAACTATGAAAATATTTGATTTACAAATAAGGAATCCTACTTCGCGGAATTTCATTTATCACGGTAGGGTCTAGAACCATTAACCGCGATAAACGAGGGTTCACTGTTCTATGGAAATGTTTCTGTTTGCACTCTGTACACAATGTGCACAGTGATCCTTGGCAGAGAAAAGTATGTGCAAGAATCTTAGCTTCGAATTTGCTCTTCATTTGTTTCCATTTGCTGTTTCACAAACCTACATGTGTTTCATTTTTATCTCTAATTTTCCCCACTCTGCAAGGAATAAAAGTGAGCTAAGTTGTGCCCAGCAATTTTGTAATAAGCTGCTGCTCTCCATGTGCATGCAATGGCCACCCGCCCCCAGGAGCAGACAGTGTACGAAGGGACAGATGCAATCCTTCTTAACTGACATCTCGCTCCCGACCTTGCTGCCTGCTCTGATTATTCTTTCTGTCAGTTACTTCCTGAGATTCTTCATTTTTATGTTTTCCCCATTGCTCTGTGTTCAACCCTATGGTTTTTCTTTCTCCTTCAGGAACCAAATGTTGTGTGAAAGACAGTGGAAATTGACCATCAGCCACTTAATAGGAAATCACCTTGACTATCATAGATTGGGGTTTTAATTGGGTTAGTGAGCCTTTTCTCCACAGCGAGTAAAGACCTTACAAAACTCATTCTGACTCTAACTTAGTCAGAATAATCATCTTCTTGACTGACTCTATTATAGATTATCCTTACTCCTCTTGTGTCTCCCAAAGTTCAGAGCAAATGCATTATGCCTTGTATGTATTAAAATTTTTTCAACACTGCCAGTTCAAATGTGTTTTCCAAAGTTATTTTTTAATTTATGAAATGTGAAAAAAATTCTATCAGTAAAGAGAAACCACTCACATTTAGACATAGAAAAGGTTTTATTAGAATATTTGAAAGCTACCCTCTTCCTATCAGATTAAAAGTGAGTAACCTAAAAAAAACATTCTTATAGTTACGTTGTATGGGATTTTCAGCTATATGTAATAAATTCTAATGACTCAGAGTGGTTATATTTTTAAAAACTATATAGGGTGTTTTATGTAGGCGTAGATTTGTGTGTATGGCTGTATGTGTAAAGTCAAGTGGATTCAAAGTAACCCCATATAGGATTCTGATACTATAAGTTTTATAGGAGTAGATGGTCTTAACTTTCTCCCTTGAAGCAGCTGGTTTGAACTACCACCCTTGAAGCAGTCCAACACCAACCTTACAGTGCCGACAAAGATTCAGAATTTTTGCAGATAATGAGAAAGCTTCTGAAGATAGTGCAGGTAGTTCCCATCTAACCCACACCCAGTTTCCTCGTCGCTACAGGTGTATCCGTACTGTAATTATAGTGGACTACTAGCCACAAGGTCAATGATCTGAGTCCACCCACCTGCTCCACCACTTGCTCCGAGGGAGAAAAGACAACATTTTCTGCTCTTGCAAAGATTCGCAGCCTTGACAATCCAAAGGGGCAATTTTATTAAGTTCTGTAGCATCCCTCCAAGTTGGACTTGTTTAGATGGCAGTAAGTTCATCTTGGGCATTAGTATTGTACATTTGTAACAATTAAAGTGCTAATATGTATAGATAACAATGTCCAGATACATTATATAATATGTATACATTATGTGTCTGGGCAGTAATGGATGGATACATATTGAATAGTGCATACTTAAGATGTCTTCATTTTTTCCTGATAACTATTTTTCTACTCCAAGCCTCTGCGTAGAGCTGCCCTTTCTCAGAGGTAAAGTTTTACCGGAGTAGAAAGTCTGGTCTTTCTCCCGTGTAGCAAGCGAGCGGCAGGTGTGTTTTCATTCCTGACATGGGGTTAGCAGCTCCAGAAACCCTCTTTAAATAACAAACATACAAATGGATCACTTTATTAATTTCAGATTGGTTGGATTTCCTTCATTTAGGTTTCCCAAACTCATTTTTCTTCCTTCCCACAGGCCACCTTTCTTAGATAGACCATTAATTGTACGCATTTCACAGTACGTTCACATGTGTTTTGAGTGTATTGTTAATTTCTTAAAACGCCAGTGAGTCCCAGCTTTTCCTCTGAGTGTGGTTCTTTACCTTCCTGCTTAAAGAGCCATTTCGCCCACTGGCTCTTGCTGCGCAGGACCATCGCTGACGGCTCTCATCGTATTTTCCAAGTGCCCTTGATCGCCTCACTGTCAAGGGTTTCGGCATATTTTTATTCGCTCGTTGATGTGTTTTGGTTTCTTCGATAAATTGTCTGTAAATACTTTCACACATTCTTGCTTTCTAAAATTTTCCAATGGATTTTCAGGATGTTTTATATTCCAGGTAAGACGGTGTGGGTTGGGGACTGGGCTGACCGTTCATGCTCATCAGAAAGATGAGACTGTCAGTCCCATTACGATTTCGTCTCAGAAACCCTGTGTGGGGTTTTTATGAGTAGGACTGATTCTATGGCAAGCGGTTTCGTTGGGGTTTTTTTTGGTTTTATAGTTCTATTATTTTGCTGGTAAAGCCTATTATTTTTATCCTATTTCATATGTTTGTTTATTAATTTTATGTTTTATTGTTCTTATGGTGATTTTTACCTGTAGCATAAAACTCATAGTTAGCTTGATTTTCCTGTAATACATGTTTTTTTTAAATCAGTGTCTTTCCTTTGACTACTCACGTGGTAATACATCCCCGTGCCTTGTCTACCCTCCCTTCCTGTGACAGCTGCTGGTGCTCGTGCTTCTAGCGCTGGGACCTGGGTTGTGTTTGTGTGAACTTGCTCCACCCTTTGGCCTGTCTTTTATATTATAAGATGATCCTACTCAATCTCATGCAGAATTCCTTGAACTTATTTCTTCTCTTATTTGAACACATTCTGCAATAGTTTTAATGAGGCCTTTAAAAACATTTTCCAAAAATTTAGGCCATATATACTTGAATGTAATTTTATGATGGCCTTATATTTTAATGACGATTGAGCTGGACATAAAATTCTATATTCAAGGCTAATTTTCTTCCATACATATAATGTTAATAATATGTTTTCAACCATTGCTTCTGCTGACAAGATGGGTTTTCCTTAACTTGTCGACCGTTGCTTTATCTGGCAACTTTTAGAATTTTATTTTTTTAAGTTCTTAGATTTCACTATTATCTACTTAAGTGTGTTTGTATTATATCTCGTTATTTTAAATGTTATTATCAGTTTCAATCCTTCAGCCATCCTTAAATCTGGAAATTTTTTAATTTTATCATTTTCTACAAATATTCCCATCTTCTTTGTCACTCTTTTGAAACTCATTCTGCTTTTGTCATTAATTATCTTTTGGACATTCCAATTTTCTCTCATCATTTTCCCTGATGCCTTCACGGAGAGTTTCAGATATACTTATTTTTTCACTCATCAGTTCATTCTTTAGTTGTAACTTTTTATTTTACATTCTTTATTATAACTTTTGTTTTCTTTATGCCAACCACCATGTTTTTCACACTCGATATTTCTAGTTAGTTATTCTTTGTGATCCCATGTTTACATTCCTATATCTTTCCTTGTCTCCTGTATATATGCTCATCCAGCTTATTAAAAACCTGGGTGCAGATGTTTTTAAAATTCTGCTTTACATGTTACATAGCCCTCAAATCTTTAACAATTTTTAACATTTATTTGGCCCCTGACAGTTTGCATGTGTGAACTCCCACAGTCATTGTCATTGAAGTTGCTCTCCTTGGTAAGTAAGGATCCCTAGGGGCACCGTGGATACTCCTTGGGCTACTCACCACAAGGTCAGCAATTTGAACCCAGCAGGGCCTCTGCAGTAGGGAGCTGCCCCTTGCTGCCTTCATGAAGGCTCAGGAAGCCTACAGAAGAGCTCAGCAAGGCAGCCTCCCTGTTTTTCTCCTCTGGCAATTTCGGGGAAAGGTAGAGACTAGACCTTTGCTTGTGTCCATCCAGGTGAGTTTAGGTGAACGAAAAAGGTGTTCCTTTCAGCAAAGAAATCCAAGCCCCGGTAACATTGCTGATCCCTGAGTTATCCCTCGATAGCATCTCTTACCAGCATCTCAGCCTTTTGAGCAATAGAGAAGGAATCCTCTGACTGTGGTTATCTGTGTCCCTGAGAATTCGAAGGGGAGTGAGGGGGGAAGGGTGTTTAACCACCTCTTCACTTCAGCAATGTCATCAGACTTTAAGGGGAATATCCATCGATGTTTCAGGTAGAAATATAATTGCTGATTTCTGTAGAAATTGTCTAGCAACCGTTGTTCCTTTGCCAAGAAGAAGGACAGCATGAGAGCTCTTCTCCAAGCTCAAGGGCAGTTTCCTGCTTCGCTAGGCTGCACTAAGCCACTTGCCAGGGGGGTCTAAGACAAGCTTGACACTTCCCAGGTGTTTCTTAGTCTCTATTACTCCCCCACCACCACCACTACCGCTTTGTGTTCTGCAAATTTATCCTTCCTACCAGAGTTTAGAGCAGCAGTTCTCAACCTGTGGGTCACGACCCCTTTGTGGGGAGTCAAAGGACCCTTTCACAAGGGTCACCTGATTCATATTAGTAACAAATGACAGTGATGAAGTAGCAACGAAAATAATGTTATGGTTACCACTACATGAGGCACTGTATGGAAGGGTCGCGGCAATAGGAAGGTTGAGAACCACTGGTTTAGAGTTTCTCCAGGGTTGATATCAGGTGAGGGAGCAGACAGGCATTGCTAGTTTGTTATCCAGGTCATATATGGCTTCTTTATCTTATCCGTAATCAGGAAAGGAATATTGAGGATATGCCATTGGCCATGTAACTCAAATTATAATATAGCTGGAAATAAATGTATCATAAGTGTGATATACATAAAATAACTATGGCCTTAATAAGGGCTATGAACAAAATACATGGTTAAATGAAAATGCGATGGTATTTTTGGGTGAAATATTTTATTATTCAGTGAATTACTCAGTGGTTCACTTAGGCACATGGGTGTATGAGAAAGCCAAATAAGGGTGGACATGTGACTGTTTAACATGAGCTTGAAAAGTGAAAAACCGTAGCTCCCTAGAGAATTTTTCTCTGCTCCCATTTAATGTTTCTTAAGTATTTCAATTATGTATCTTAAAATCCCATCAGAGAACATTTCTATTTTTGCTGAACCATTAATAATATACAAAAGCCAACAGGGGAGATGAAATTGTAAATGTGTTTACTCATAATTGTGCTGTCCACATTCTTTCATCTGGATACTTCAAGTGTCCTCCTTTCCTCCTTCCTGTCTGTCTGAAGAGTTTCTGTAGCCCCGATTATAGCAGGACTATGAGCAATACAATTCCTTAGTTTTCTTCCTCTGAGAAATATTTCTTTTCCCCTTTCATCCCTGAAGACTGTCTCACTGGCTATGGAACTCTGGGTTGAGTTATTTCTGTATTTGGGGGCACCATGGTTTTTGGTGAGAAATCTGCTGTCATTTGAATTGGTTTTCCCCCACAGACACTTATATTTTTCCTGCTTCTGAAATGTCTCCTATGACACAATTACGTGTACTGGAATTCCCAATCTTCATAACGTTGCTCATGTTGTTATGATGCAACTGAACACCTTTACATAGTCAATAAAGCAAGGTAATCATGTTTGTTTCCCTCTGACTTCAGCCACATGTTATCTGAGTCGGAAATGTTATCCTTCATTCCACATCCTCTTCTACATTGGCCTTGATTTCTAGCAGTGCCCTGTTGAAGTAATGCTCAGCCACTTTGAATAATGTAAAGTTTTACTTGTATGTGAAATTAATGATATTATTCTCTACTTTCCACATTTGATTGGACACCTTTATTTCAAATGCTCACAAATATGGATCTCTTCCAACCAATTGGTTGGGTAGCTGTCTGAGTTAGTTAAAGTTTAGTGTGCCAACCTGGCCAATAAATACATGTGGGGCTAATTGAAAGGCGGAGAGATAAATGGCTTGGTGAGCCTCGCCTTTCTAGTTCTCCAGTCTCTTGCTTTGTGATAGTCAGACCAGGGTGCAGCTGCCTTAGCCAGTTCCCTGCTTCAGCTTGCAAGGCTCACTTCCTGCAAGACATCTCCAAGGAGAAGCCGCATGGACCTACCCCAATGCAGCCCTGGGTGTTGGAGCAGCCGTGTGGAGACCCCTGCCAGCGCTGAGATCTTACATGCTCACTGATTCGGCTTTCCTCCGGCAGTCGGCATCATAGTGTGTGTTTTGTGGGATGAAGGAGGATTTTGTGGATTGGTGTTGGACATACGGGTTAATGTTGCACTTGTGGGCTTGGGCAGCACTGGGTTGGGATGTTTTCTTCATGTGCACTCACACTTTATATAAAACTCTCTTACATATGAGTTTCTGTGGATTTGTTTCTCTAATGTACCCAGAGTAACACACTGTCTTGACATTTCTCATTGTAGACAAGAGTTGCATCTGTTTGCTAAAATATCTCAATTGGTATTTCATCAGCTCCTGAAGCCTTGTGCTTTACTAATGTCTTCAGCGCAGCATGAACATCTTCAATATCACCAGTTCTTAATCAGGTACCACCTAACATGTAATCCTACTTGGTAGAGTAATTCTATTTGGCCACACATTTTTCAACAGTGCAAAACAAGACTTTATTTTTTATTTCATTCGGTTCTTCATTTTTTTCTTTCAGCTTGAGAAATGCCAAGCTTGTTCTTCCCTTTTGGTTTTCCGACTCCAAGTTATTACACATTTCATTATAACACTATACTCTGTCTTATCAAGTGGCTCTTTGATATCCTATGTTCAGCTCTATTGTTTCATCATTTATGTCACTCATTTTAACCACTGATCATTCAAGGTCAACTTTTGGAGTCTCTTCCTACATCCATTCTGGTCTTCTCTTTCTTTCCTGTCATTTTAATGGCCATTTGCCTTTCTCATGACTGATGCCCTTGATGGTAGCTCACAGCATGTCTGATCTGTGGTGATTACTTCAATGTGCCAAGCCAGTTCTTGAGATATTCTCTAAATTCAGGTGGAGTACACTTACGGCTGTACTTTGACTCTTTTTTTAAATCATTTTATTGGGGGCTCGTACAACTCATCACAATCCATATATACATCCATTGTGTCAAACACATTTGTACATTTGTTGCCATCATCATTCTCAAAACATTTGGTTTCTACTTGAGTGCTTGGCATCAGCTCCTCATTTTCCCTCCCTACGTGCTCCCCCTTCCCTCATGAACCCTTGATAATTTATAAATTATTATTTTTCATTTATTACACTGTGCAAGGTTTCCCTTCACCCACTTTTCTGCTGTCCATCCCCCAGGGAAAGGGTTATATGTAGATCATTGTGATCAGTTCCCCCTTTCCACCCCATGTTCCCCTTACCCTCCTGGTATTGCAACTCTCATTATTGGTCTTTAGAGGTTTATGTGTCCTGGATTCCCTGTGTTTCCAGCTCTTATCTGTACCAGTTTATATTCTCTGGTCTAGCCAGATTTGTAAGGTAGAATTGGGATTATGATAGTGGGGGAAGGGGGTGAAGCGTTACAGAGCTAGAAGAAAGTTATATGTTTAATCATTGCTATATTGCACCCTGAGTGGCTCATATCCTCCCTGTGAACCTTCTGTAAGGGGATGTCCAGTTACCTACAGATGGACTTTGGCTCTCCACTCTGTACTCTCCCTCATTCACAATGATCTGATTTTTTTGGTCCTTGATGCCTGATACCTGATCCTATGTACACCTTGTGATCACACAGGCTGGTGTGCTTCTTCCATGTGGGCTTTGTTGTTTCTCAGCTAGATGGCCGCTTGTTTATCTTCAAGCTTTTAAGACCCCAGACACTGTACTTTGACTCTTGTGGACTTGCTTAAAATTTCTTCAACTCTAACTTGCATTTGCATATGAACAATTGATGAGCTGTTCCATGCCTGGCTCCTGATCGTATCCCGACGGATGCTCTTGGGAGTCTCCTTAGTCCTCTTTTCATAAATGGAGGGAATTTGGTTTCTAGGCATTCCATTTTATTTCTAATGACTTCCGCCTTTCCTCGATTCATGCTTAATGCATTTCATGTTCTGATTGTTACTGGACAATTATAGCTTTCTTCTCATTTTGAGGCATGCCACATCCATCCATACAGTTCTTAAAAGGTTGGTACCATCCAAACCAATAAAGGTGACTCTACTTTGAGAAGGCAGCTTATATTTTAACTTCTCTCCAATCTGTGGGCTCTTCCCTTGAGGCTATATCAGATCATTGTTTCTTTGCTATTCGTAAGATTTTCGCTGGCCAGTTATTATAGAAGAAGATGGGCAGATTTTTCGTGCTGTTCTCTGAGTGTAGGCTTCATTGAAAGCTGTCCACAATAGATGGTCCTACTTGAATTTGAAATAGGTAACAAAGCTTCCAACATCATACCAATAATACACAAGCCAGTACAGTATGATCAACTGATAGACAATTTTTCTTCCAGTTAGAATTCTTACTTAAAGGCATTCAGTCATAACCTTACAAATGCTAACAGTACATCATTAGCTCCTGAGCAAAGTAACTATATATAAAATTACTATATACCCAGTAACTTTATAGTTATCTATTTTTAAGACTGTCTCCTACATTAGATTTTTACCTCTGTAAGGTAGGTACCATGTCTATCATAGTATACTGTACCATGTAAGCACTGAATGTTTGCTGAATAAATGAATAAGGGAAATGACAAGTCAAGAATCAAATCAATCCCCCTTGAACTGTTAAATGAATAAAGTTTATAATTATGGGGTCTAATTGGAACAATAGCAAATATATTAAAATGAGATTCTCCCATTCCCAACATGAGATTGAGCTATGGTTGTGTTCCTAGAGAATTAGCCCTCATTTCATTTCCTGCCTCCTAAAATGTCAATGAATACATTATCCAAGTCTCTTTTTTATTAGAAGCTCAATTGTAGACAGAAGTAGTTCACATTTAATTGATTGAAGTGACCATACAATCTCTTTGAAAATTTATTGAAAATTCTATAGGGGCTTGGCATTACTAATTAGTACCTCTATAAATTTTAGAGGGAGATTAATAAGAAAAATAAGTAAAGGGATTAAAGCTTATAAATTGTCAACCTTTCATCAATACCCACAATTCTTACATTGTCATATTATGGACAGAGTGCCCTATACTTTAATCTTTAATTTAACTAACCGTACCTTTGTCTCCAAACCACTAAGATATCGCTGAGAGTCAGAAACCAACCTTGAAAAGGATTGCAGTTCTCTAGTATCACAAAGATAAGAAGTCTCATTAATTAGCTGTGAGTTCCTCATCCCCTTTATGCAGAAGTTACATGAATCTCTAGGTGTGATTATCTGTTATTGTTTTGGAAAGGCATTTGGAAGATTTAGCTGTAGACTGTTAGTTCTTTCCCAAAGCTAATTTTAGAAAAGCGGTAAGCAGTAGCTCCTTTTTCTCTCTGTAGCCACACAGAGACCGAGTGGCTTATCAAAGATCTCATTCAAAAAAATAAGATGTCAGCAATATATATGAACATAGTACATTCCCAGGAAAGTAGGGAGTTGTCAATGTGTAAATATTTACCTTCTGCAAATATTTTCTTTTTCCTTTTAAACCTATAGTCTTTCAAATATCTGTTTACATTATTTCACAGCTGTATGGCAAAATCTGTTGGGAAATCTTACCTTGAATTTTCCATTCCACCAAACTCCTTTATATTATCATTTTAATTATAGGTATATAGAGAGAAATTTTCTTGTGTACACATTCTTGAAATAAAATAAAGGTCCCTTAAATATTATTTAAGCTACTCATAAACAAGATGACATCTGTATGAGTGCCTATGTGATTTGGTAGTGCTCCAAGGGGTCTAGGCTCAGAGTAGCAAACCTTATGTGTGATCTAAATGTGCTCCTTGTGCTTAACTGGTAAACATTCCGTTTCTCTCTCTCTCTCTCTCTCTCTCTCTCTCTCCCCCCTAATCATTGCTGTTATCTGAGGTGACCTGCAGCACTGTTAGGAACCCTCGCGGTGTGGTGGTTAGGTGTGGGGCTGCGGTCCACAAGTTGGAGGTTAGAAACCGCCCATCACTGTGAGAGTGAAACACCGGGCTTTCTACGGCCATAAACAGAAACTCCAAAGGGGCAGTTCTACTCTGTCCTACAGGGTCGCTGTGAGCTGGCATCGACTCAGTGACAGTGAGTTTGGGGGGGTTTGTTGGTTTTTTGGGTGGCATGGTTTCATAAGCACTAGACTGCTAACTACATGGTCTTTGATTCAAACCCCCAGCCACTTCTTGAGAGAAAGATTCGGTTGTCTGGTTCCATAAAGATTTACAGCCTTGGAAACCCTATTCACAGAGGGGTTATGAGCCGGGACTGACACAGTGGTCATGCCTCTGTTCTGGGGTCTGGACTGTGTTACTCATTAAACAATGGCGTGCTATACTGTGCTGGGAATATTTATGCTCTGGAATTGTTTACTACTTGTGGACTGAACTGAGCTATCCAGAAGAGTTATTTATACATTTTAAAAAAGATTTTGTTTAAACCTTTCCAAGTGAAGCATCCGATATCAAATTAGTTATAATAATAAAAATATTCAGTATATCCATGTGCTCATACAATTTTGAGTTTTGAGTACCCTGATAGATTCTCTATCACTTTTCTTCTCTGATCAATTCACATTACCATGTCTTCTCTCTGGGGGTTGGTGATTTATTCCTGATCCCAATTTCACATATTCTTCCTGTTCATCTCCTTCCCTTCTTGTAAGGACTTTCAGCCCTTCAGAAAAGGTGCAATCCTAATAACTACAGACTCTGAAGAGCAGTCGGCCACAACCCAGAGCTGTGAAGCTAGGGCTTCAGTCAGCCATTCTGATCAAAGCCTATCAAACACCCAGAGTTTTCCGTGCATGTGAAAGCGGGTTTTAATTAAGTAGGACCCGTTACAGTCATGCTGTCTCTGAAAATACCAAGTGTATTTTAGTCTACCAATACAGATTTTGGGGCACACCCTTGTGATGGTAGGGTCAAGGTTCATGCCATTATCAGAGATCAGTGCCAACTTTTACGTTTCACTGCTCAAATGCATCTTTCCGATCCTAGTTATTAGATTTCCTCCACCGTGTACCATTTACCTCCCTAATACAAATTATTTACTTTCAGACAGAGAAAGGACTCTCAACAGTCTGGCAAGAAAACGGACAGAACGCCGTAGATCACTGGCAAAAGGCTGTGATCCTGCTAGGAAAGTTCCGGAACTTTGAAGTTATATTTCAAGGTATCCGAACACGGGACCTGGGCGGAGGAGCTGCAATTGATGACATCGAATTTCAAAACTGCATGACTGGTAAGTATCTGGAAAGCACTTCCATTTGGGAGCCCATTTCTACTTATTATATTTTAGCTTTGCTACACTTTATAAAGCTGTCTGCTAGTAAGTGTTCTGTACTTACCCCAAACTCCAGTCAATGAGATAACTCCACAGTTGTCAAGTTTACAGTTGCATAACATTTAAGACGTAGTTTATTTTCCAGTCTTTCACGGCCAACGTGGTTGCTCTCTGCCTCCTATAACCTCTCTTTTAACATACTGAACTGATCTCCCTTAGGTTGAATTTTCAGCACAATGTAAACTGTAAACAATATTTACAACATGTACTGAATTAAAATTATTCTGAAATGAAGTAGTATAAAGGAAATAGAAAGCTGACACTCAACAGGTATATTACAAATAAATTAAGATATAATTCAAGCAGATAATGAACAGAGAGCTTTACTTAACAACAAAAGCCTAAAACCAACCATGCCCACTGCCATCAATTCAAATTCAACTCTATATAGGATTTCCAAGTGTTTGAATGGAAACCTCATTGTACTTAAGGGACTTAACATGCGAAACTAACCCATTGCTGTCAAGTTTATTCCAATTCCTTATAACACTGTAGGACTGAGTAGAAATGCCCCATTCTCCTGTATAGGAAGGAGTGAATTTGAATTGTATACTTTTCTGTTAGCAGTTGATGGAGTACTGAATCATATATCCCTGGACTCCTATCGAATGAACAGCACCTTGGTAAAGCATACCGCCACTTCCCATGCTGCTAAATTCAAAGTATATCTACTCATAGATTTTCTTTAGAAAACTGTTTAGAGTAGTTTAAAATGAATTTTCAATATATTCATATGATCTTTCAGTCTGCAAAGTTCTCTCAGAAGAATTCTTCCATTTGATTTTCAAAATAGTACTGTGTGATGTCTATTGCTAATGAAGTATATGCTCTTTGTGGTTTGCTACCTTGATGCACTTGGCGGCACACCTCTGGGACTGACGAACTAAACCTGAATGCTGTGTCATCGTACCAGTATCATTGCTCTCATGATCGTATCATTTTGCTGAGGGGATTTTAAAATGTGACTTTAGTTTTGGAGATGTTATGGCATCTGCTCTTTCTCTAACAACTGCTGCTTCAAAGGATTCTGTGTAAGAGTAAATCCTGCACAGTTTGACATTCCCTACATTTTTTCCCAGGAAAGGTGGTTGCTACCTACTTTCCGTATATGCTCAACTACTGCTATTGATGGTGTTGTGCCCCCTACACCTACTAGGTGCAGTAAAGCCTAATTTTTATGTGTTGGGTCATAATTCCATTTGGAAATGGATCTTCTGTATTGTGAATGAAGCAGTATCGCTAAAGACTGTGCCTTAAATTCACCTCTTAGAGGAAATCAAAAGAAAGGAAAGCCAAGTATGGATGGGGGAAGAAAGATGCCAGGCCACAGGAGAAGTGCCCAGGAATTGCAGCTCAGAAAAGACAAGGACCTTTTCTCAGAGCTGCAAGAGACAGAAAGCCTATCTCTAGAGCTGCATTATTTTCAAATGTTTGTTTTAAATTTTCATTGTGAATTGTGTGGGGGATTGCATTTCAGGTCATCAATTTTGTATTCAACTTAAACTACTTATCAAACCTCCCAACAGCTTTCTCTGTCCTCCCCTGGCCCTTAGATTTCTTTTCTCCCTCTCGTAGATCATTATCTTCTCTTTCACCCAAGTTAACACCTCTTTCCCTTTGAGTCTGTGACTCCCAGTTCTTCCCCACTTCCCCCACCCCTGATAACAATCAAAGTCTGTTTCTCTTGTCATGAAAATCACTTATCATACAGTTTTAAAAAACTTTTATAATAATGGTCTCATGCAATAGTTATCCCTCCATGAGCGACTAACTTCAGTCAGCATAATATCTGCCAAATCCATCCAGGTCATGACGGGTTTCCTCCATGCCATGACTGTTCCGCCATTATTTTCTAGCTATGCAACTTTTCCATTGTGTGTATGTAAACAACATTTACTTACCCATTCTTCCACCGATGGGGATTTCGGTTGTTTTCATCTTCTTGCTACTGTGAACAGTGCTGCAATGAACTAAGAACCACTTTCTATTCTCCTACATGTTTAGAAGCTGAATGTGGTGGGTGGTGTTTCTGTAACAGCAGCACTGGATAACAACCTCAGACATGTCACCTACAGTCGGGATATCTGCACTCCAGATGATGTAGTGAGCATGCAGCTATGCCAAATAAGAAGCAAGATTTGTGCTCGGAGTGTTAGGGAGGAAATGCGCTAGAAAAAGAAAACAGCGTTCTGAACATAATGTCTGTCATGAGAAAAAAATCTTAGAAGTAAGAATGGAGCCTTTGGAAACTGTTCTGGTAACTTTCCTAGTAATATGCTGAATTTCTCTTGTGGTTTGTAACTCAATCTATGCATGATTCTGGCAATTTGGAAAAGAAAATTCTTTTAACAATTTTCCTAAGGTTTGGGAAAGAAAGGAGCATTTATTACATGAAAGGAATGATTTTCCTCTCCAGGGAAACAGGAGATAGGGTGACTCAGGACAGACAGGAACTGAGACATTATTTATTCCGGCTCTGTTAAGTATTATGTTGAACTTCATTCTATTTCTTAGCCTTCTTGTTTTAAACTCTGGTGAGAATGAAAATACCATAATAAATCCTGTTCAACTCAGTGGTTGAACTCGGCACTGAGTAACACTTTAGTATCTTATAGTTAATATCAAATTTGTATTTAGAATACATTTTCGGAAAAAATATGCATTTTTAAGTAGCCCAATGTGCTATATAAATAGTAAGGATTTTCAAATAATTTGGGGACATCATAACAAATTTTAGTACAGAATAACAAGACATCAAGGTGTAAATTTCTGAAAGAATTTGTATAGAACCATTAATTATGTATTTACTTTTATCCCCTTTGTTTTGAATCGTGGTTGGTATTAGGTGCCATCCAGTTGTGACCCTAAACACAACACAAGGACACAGTGCCCGATCCCACACCACTCTCACAATTATTCCTGGTTTGTTCAGATTTGACTTAGATGTCAACAAAATGCTGATGTCCACTATTGGTAAGGAGAATGGCTAAGCATATGAGTTAAGCTCAGTTGTTTCCTCCTACTGACAGTTTAATTGAAGAGTATGGTAAAAACTCTGTCACTAAATAAAAAATAAATAAACAAAAATAAAAATCCCACTGCTATCTAATTGATTCTGACTTACAGAGACCCTACCGGACCGAGTAGAATGACTGGTGTGTTTAAATCAGCAACCTTGGGGTAACTAGCCCAAAGCTTAGTCCACCGCACACCAGGATGTTTCTGTCAGAGTCCAGTGGAAAAGGGTAGAACTCTGAGCCAAACTCACTGAGCTTGGAACCTGGCTTTGGCACTTTGGGCCCTTCCTGGCTGGAATAAGTTTTAGTTCACTGCATCCCAGTTCCCTCATCGGTGAAAATGAGGAAGATGTTAATAATACTTTCATCCCAGGTTTCTGTGAATTCTAAATAGTTTAATAAATATCAAGTGTTCAGACATTTGGACACATGTAAATGTATTTTGTTGTTGTACTTCCATTATTATTAACTGTCATTCATATTCTTACGTGGTGAGTCATTTCCCTGAATGAAGAAAGCAACTTCAAATTATATGCAAACTAAGTCATCATAGCCTTTATTATGGAACTGATGTTATCCTTGTTTGAAATGAATACATAGCATTTTCCTTTCTTTCTTTCCCTCATTCTTTCTTTCCTGCCTTCATTCTTTCCCCTTCGATTGTGGAGGACAACACACACAGGGAAAGGCCTGCAGAGGAGTTCCCCAGCCCCAGGAATCAAAACAATGACAGTGTTCCAGAAAGTGTCCTGGCCCATGCACGTGTGTGTGCAAACTTAGCGAACTACTGCACATTTTAGCTTAACTTTTACTTCTTCCTGTTAAGTTTTATTGATATCATTTGCATACCATACAATTCAAGGGTTTAATTTTATTTAAAGAGTTTTGCAGTCATCACTGCAATCAGTTTTAAAACATTTTTCTTCTTTCTTATACTTATTATTTCCCCCCCCCCCCATTTTCCTCTAAGCAACTCTAAGAAATTATTAAGTCATTTATGGTACCTATAGATTTGCCGATCCTGGACTTCACATGCAGAAAAACATAGTAAGACCACTTTGTACCCTCACCCCCCCAAAAAAAAAAAACCCAAATCCAAACTATGATAGCAAAATGAAACAGACCTCAATGTAAAGAAAGCAGAAAATATTAAAAATTAGAACAAATTTAAAATGGGTCCAAAGGGTGAACAAATGATGATATTTAATTTTAACCGAATTACATCTGCATTAATTCACTTTCAAATGTATTCTGTCTGACAGTATGTCTATTCACATCCCTGGGCAGTGGTCGGAGGGGACTTCTTTGAGGCTAAAGCCATGTGGCGATCCTGCAAATGCATTTGCAGCTTCCATAGTCATCTCTAATGTTCTGCTAGCTAGATGCTCAGAAGGTAATCTCTAATACCATTCCCACCTTTGGTCCTAGATTTTACTATTTACAGGAATCATACCGACAGGAGTATTTCTTCCATGTGGACATAGTTCACACCTCACTGAGATTGATGCTTGTTGTAAGGAAAGCCTTTAAGAACCTCCGAAGCTTTTCTTTCCAATAGTGGGGCCATGTCTGTTTTGTGTTTTCACCATACTTTTTTACCCACATCATCAGTGAGCTTTTTCTGAGGACAAGTATTGAGTAGGGCCATGTCATAAGAACAAATCGTTCTTAGATTAGGGATATGGTTAAGTGTGATCCCAAATTCATTAATTTAGCTATGGTTTATATATGTTCCTGGTTCATAGTAGAGATATTCTTGGCATTTTATTGGGGATTGAACCAAAGTCCAATGACTTTCAGATCCATAACCTTGGGATATTAACCGTGTGATTCCTCTCAGGTGTTTTAGTCTTAAATCCAAGGGAATATTTCAGTTCCTTT